CTGTTGACCTTCTGGGTTCATGTTCTATCCTTCTTTGTCCCGCCCTGTTCCCTGCCAGGCTGACCTATTTGGACTTCATCGCCACGACTTCCTGGCTGGCTGGGATGAGTTTGGCCAGTGGAGATACCAGAAGTAGATCAAGTAAGTATTAGAGAGAAGCGTGTTTCTTTCCCACTCCCACTCTCACTCTGTGGGCATCGGGGTTCTGGTTGCAGCTGCAGCCCTGTGGTTTTAGCTCCCTCTAGGGGCTGTTTTCCGGGCTTCCTCTCTCCCTAGGCTCTGGTTACACTATCTAGGGCTGGTAGCAGCTTCCTTCTATTGCTAGTATTCCACCTCAGCATCCCTTAACCTTGCCTACACCTGAGTTAACAGCCCCTTCATGAAACGCTCCTCTTCCAGCCAGACCCCAGCAGGTATAGCGGAGCTCTTCACAGCAAGAGTTTAAAATACCTAGAGACCCAGGCATTCAGCCCAAGGAACTGAGCCCCCACTGCGTACTGCTGTGGAGGCTGGGATTGGCTCCAGGTTGTTCCTGCCTTTAGGGGAGACAAGAGCTGATTTCACAGCACTAATGCCAGATAGCAGGTGAGCCGTGTCAAAGCTGAGAGAGGAAGGGAATTCTCAAATACCCATGCCCTCTGCTAATTAAGGGAGTTAACAAGGCAGTTTATAAAAACAAGAGATTGGACATGTAAATGTGATGTTTCTTTATCTTATGTAGCTCTGGAACCTTCAGAAGTATTTTTAATTTTTTTCCTTTTTTCCCATTTTGCTCAGGACCTACTGTGCCCCTCAAGGAAAGAGAGGCCACAGTAAGACTGATCCGAGGTCCTGGAGAGATCCTTTCTCTCCCTCCCTGTTACAAAAGCAACACCAGTGAAGCCTAGTGGAACTGGCAGAGCTGGGAGTCTTCAGAAGTATTTTTAAAAGTGAACATCCTCAACCAAATGTTATTTTTTCCCCCCGAGTCCTGTCCTGCGGTAACCAACGTTCAGGAGGCGAGAATGGTGTCACCGTTGCTATTTCTAACAGTCCCTAGGTTCCCCAGCACAAAGAAGAACAGCGGAGGAGTGCAGGACTGCTCTTTATTCTGCAGACCAACAAAAGCCACGATTTAATGAGATCAGCTGCACCCAGAGGACAGTTTAAGAACCGCCCTGGCTTCTCCGCTGAATTCCATCCGGGAGCAGCAGAGAGAGGCAACGCGCCCATGGCTCTGTGATCTGTTGAATTAAAGAGACGAAGAGTCATCCCTTCCCTGACTCAAAAGCCCAAAGAATTCAAAAGAATATGGATGGAGTTTCTTCTGAGGTGAAATTTAAAAAGCTGAAGGCTGGGGGAAGGGAAGGAAAAGGAACAAGGCAGTTAACTCTTTGGGAACAGGAGAAGCATGAGGTGCAGGACAGGGGAACAATCACCTATGGACTGGGCCTTCTAGCCACTGCCCCTCTGGGGCTTCTGACATCTTCAGTCTGTGAGTAAGTGGATGTATTTTAAATTGAAACTGTCAATGAACCCAAGGGAAAAAAAAAACACACATAACTTACAATTAAAGGATCTTACAAGATGAAAACTCCAATAAGGCCATTGCATTCTTTTCAATACGCTCCTTGGAGGTAAAAATAAAAGGGCAGGGTATTTTTGTTTTAAGCATGCCATGAGAACTGGCCATTGTCATTTATACCAGATATTTCACACACTGCTTTTGATACCATACTTTGTAAAAAATACATTCGTTTGCTAGTGAACCATGTCTTTAGATTAACCTTTTCAATTCAGCATGTCCAGGATCAGGGCCATCTCAGGACTCAGCTGTGTTAGAGACACATTTAAAGAACAGAGACCCTGCACGTGAGAAGTCAAGCAGTTCTTTTAAAAACTGATGTCATTCCTCTGGCGTAGGCATACATCAGCTAATCATTCACCGAGTGCCTCCTGTGTGTCAGGCTCTGGGTGGTGGCCGGGGCTAGGCTACAGACATAAAAGGTGGTAAACCCTGTTTTGCCGGAATTTATATATCTCGTTCCCAGTCTGGGGCTGATTTTGCCCTGCCCCAAACTCCTAACATTTGACAGTGTCTGGAGACATTTTGACCGTCACACTGGGAGGATGCTGCTACTGGCAGCTAGTGGGTAGAGACCAGGGGTGCTGCTAAGTATCCTAGTGTGCACAGGTCAGCCCCCACACAAAGAATTCTAATCCAAATGTTAATAGTGCCAGCCTAACGGGAGATGGATGAGGGAACAGAAAAGATGCAAACTATGAAAAGTGATTAGACAGATACATGCATAGGCTTTATGGAAGCCCCAAGAGAGAGTATCTTCAACTTTTAACGTGAAACAAGCATTAGTGCATATATATGTAAATTTATTCATAGAGATAGGATCTCACCATGTTGACCAGGCTGGTCTCGAACTCCTGGCCTCAAGCAATCCTCCTCCCTTCTTGGTCTCCCAAAGTGCTGGGATTACAGGCATGAGCCATCACACCTAGCCTGCATTTTAAAAATTTTTATTTGTTATTGTTGTTTCAACTTTTATCAAAAAGTACTTCAGGTTGGGCACAATGGCTCTTGTCTGTAATCCCAGTACTGGGGGAGGCCAAGGCAGGAGGATCACTTGACAGGGCAGGAGTTCTAGACCAACTGGGGCAACAGAGCAAGACCCCATCTCTACTTAAAAAAATCCTGTAATAACAATTCCTGATTTCTGGGAGCAGCATTCATTAGAGCAATATTGGAAAATTCTTATCGGCTATTTCCTGAAATACTCAACAGTGTCATGAATATTTACCTGTAAGAATTTATCACATATTGTTTTTTCTTCATCACAAATGAGAAGGACTGAAAAATCCATTACTAGCAAATATACCTGTTATGCCAAACCAAACAGGCAATTGCTCAAGGGGCAGTGAGAGCTTTCCTGAACTCCAGAGTCAGCAGTCACACGCACCCTCCTGCAGGCCACCTAGACTCCTACTTGACAGCCAAGAACTTTTTATTCTCTTTGAAAGGAAGGGGGAATTACAAAATCCTTTAACCTAAACATAGTCATAGTTTGCTAAACAATGAGGATATATTATGAGAAATGCATAATTGCGTGAACATCACAGAGTGTACTTGTGCAAACCTAGATGGTGTAGCCTACTTCACACCTAGCCTGTTGCTCCTAGGCTACAGCACGTTACTGTACTGAATACTGTAGGCAACTGTAACACCATGGTAATTATTTGTATATCTAAACATAGAAAAGGTACAGTAGAAATCCGGCATTATAATCTTATGGGACCATCACCGTTATATATGTGATTTGCCATTGACCAAAACCTTACTATGCAGCACATGACTATAATTATACTGGCAAATACCTTTTGCAAGTACAAACTGAACGGACTTGAATCTGAAGAAAGGTAAATGTAAGCACTGTCTGCTCCTCCCTCCCCCACGCACACTGGTTTTCCCTTCAGAGATGTACAAGTTTCCACAGGGAACCGGCTGACTTGACTGATGGTCTTTAACCCTTCTAAATGTTGAAATGGATTATGAGCAGCTTCCCCTTCATCCCCTTCCACTTTTCCAGACATCTGGTAGATCTCACTCCCTTTCCCTGTGACCCTGACTCTCAGGCATGGCTTCCTTCAGGCAGAAAAGGACCTGGCACCAGGGAAAGCCCAGCTACCTAAGTCAGGGTCCTCAGAAGCAGCAGCAAGTAAACACGGGATGAATGAGGCAGATGAGTCTTCTGGGCCACTCTGCCTACACTTCAGTAAAAGTGGACGCTTTTTTCAATGAAGCAAAAACAGTAGGACTTGTTTGATTTCCTTCCTTTCTCAAGTGTCTTTCTCTTGAAAGCAGCAAATGCATACTTGTCCCAGGACGAGAGAAAGAGCTAAGAGTGTGTGTTATTAAAGTTGGAACCACTTTTAACAACTGATTCTTTAGTAAATTTTAATGGGATAATTTTAGGAGTTGGCTGATGACATGCCTTCCAAATACTAATAATAGCCAGCATTTATTGTGTACTTCTTGCCAAGCATTATGCTAAATGTTTTATTTTTCAAAGAAGAAATGTAATTGTAAATATAGTTGATGTTAGGCATTTCCTCTTGATGGGCAGATCCACTAGCAATGGCTGGTTAGCATCCCAGTGGGGAGCATAGGAATGGGGGAAGGGAAGTGATGGCAGTCTGAGGTCTGGATGTGGTCACGAGGTAATGCAATAGAGTCTTACTCAGTTCCCAGAGTGCCTGGACAATTCTGGGGTAGTGTGGTAGACTCAGAAGAAAGGCAGTGGGCTTCTTGTTGCTAATGCCACAAGAAGGCTTGGTGATTCATTGGAAACATAAGTTATATATGATCGTGTTTGTATCTTACATTAGGGAAGCAGAGAAGACTAGCTGTAGTAACTTCAGTTCTTTTGAGAACTGCTTCATCCCCTGGAATGGCACTGGTGATGCTCCCACCTGGATCCCCTTGTAGTTCTTTTATAGTTTCTCTATACTCCTCTTCCTGCCTACCAAGCCTCCGTGTGCTTTTGTTTCCAGCAGCCCATATCTACACAGAGGACTGCGTTTGGGTTACTGGAGACACTGCCTGCGTGCAGACTGAAGTGCCTACTGGTTGTAGGAAGGGCCAGTTCTTTTGCCTTAGGTCAGGACAACTTTGAGATGCAACTGCTACTCCAGAGCTCCCTGCAGGATCAGGCTGAAGCTACTCTTTGTGTAAGATCATGTCCTTGCTCGGATTCTTCCCTTTCCCTTACTTTCTCCATTCTCTCACCAGCTTCCCTTGCGAGCATTCCCTAGTAAGTCACATGCACACAAGTCCTCATCTCAGGGTCTGCTTCTGGGGAATTCAACCTAAGACCCTTCCTGAGAATGTATTTGCCATGGTGGTAATGGTGTGTGTGTGTGTCCTTGTACTCTTCATGATAAGCTACAACTTAATCAGTTGCTTCTTCACACACATTCACCCTAGACAGGGCACCTCCACACCCTCTTACATTTTCTTCCAGGGAAGTCAGCTGCTCATCCAGTCTCACTTGGTCTGTACCACGAGGAAACGTCCCCTTCTCTCTGTCAGGAGGGACTTGAGGGGACTCCCAGGGCCCTGTAGATTCTGCTATCAACTCCTCTGTGGCATTGATGACTTTCAGGACTTCTGTGGAGATGTTGCAGAGAGAAACAGCAGAAAACTTCTGTTTGGTCCGATAACAGAAGGGGGCAGAAGACAAGAACAGCACATTAACAATGACACAGAAATTTTATGTTGTCATGACACTCATCATCATGAGGTTGATTCTGTAATTCCACACACAAACACCAATGTGCTGAAGAATGAGAAGATAAAACTAGACACAGCAGAAGAGAACTGAGGGGAGGCCTGGTTTGACTTCACCTAGTTTCTGTGACACCCAATAAATTATTTCAGATTCTTGGGGAGGGAAGGAGGAAAGAGGGCTAGAGTGGAAGCTGTATGTCCTCTGCCCACTGCTGGTAGTTTAGTATCTCTTACCTTATTTGCTGAATAATATTCTACTTCCTCAGCAAAACTTCAGTCTCAGACTGAAGTGTGGTCCAGTGGGTAGCTCTCTGGACTGCCATTTAAGAGACCTGGGCTCCAGTTTTGGCTCTAAATTCACCCAATTATGGGAACTTGGCCAAGTTATTTTCTATTTCTGGAACTCATTTTTGCCATTTGTACAATGAGAGTACTAGGAAGAATTTCTGTGCTGTTTCTTGATAGACAATGTATTAGCTCACACATGTGTTTTCAAGCTCATTCTCTCTTGCTTTCTTCCACCACGGAGGTGAACAGGAAAATACCCATTTCCCTGCTTCCCTTGCAGCTAGGCATAGTCATGTGACATCATTTTGACTAGAATCCATAGGGAGAGCCTGAGGAGTTTCTAGATAAGCGTTTGTTTTCCTAATCAGAGGAACTGGTGCATCTCATGCCCTTCTCTTCCTCCTCACTTGTTGCTGCCTTAAAAACAGACATGCAGCTTATGAGCCAACAGGAATGAAGATGAATGCCAAACCTCCAAGTGACATGGAGCAGAAAGGCTGAAAGAGTTTGGACTCAGACAGCATTGGATTGGGTGAACCACTGGGAGTTGCCATCTGCCTCTGAATATCATGGTATGTGAAAAAAAAGATCCCCTATCTCTTGAAGCCACTGTTGGCCAGGTTTTCTGTTATCTGTGGCTGAACATATTCTTGACTGGCACAGGTCACTTCCAACCTTTACATTCATGGCTCAAAATTATAATCGATCCAGATTTGGACCAATGTTATTAATGGAGCAGAGGTCCTTCAACCTCAGGGAATCATCTGCATTTTGAGTTCATCTGAACGTACAGCACCATGCAATACTCTGGACATCACTGTTGCTTGACCGTCACGGTTTCCATCTACAAACAGTTTTGTTTATCTCATCACATCATGTTTCATGTGACCAGTAAAATGCTTAAAGAAGTAAACCAGAGTCGCCTACTACGGAAACAAGAAGGAAGCCCGACAGGAGAATCCTGGGCAGAAAAGCACCATCAGTTTTAACGCCGCTGCTCCGGCCCTGGGAACTAACAACCTGGACGTCCACTCAAGAGACCTAATCTGAAAGTTGGTAATTTCAAAGACAACAGGAGGATAAATTTACAATGACGGGAAGAAACCAGCGTAAAAAAGCTGAGAATACTCAAAGTCAGAACGCCTCTCCCTCTAAAGATGAACACAGTTCCACATCAACAATGGAACAAGGCTTGATGGAGAACGAGCGCATCCTGATGACAGAATCACTCTTCAAGGAATGGATAATAACAAACTTCGGTGAGTTAAAAGACCATGTTGTAGCCCAACGTAAAGAAACTAGGAACTTTGAAAAAAGGTTTGATGAAATCCTATTGAGAATAGACAACTTAGAGAGGAGTATGAGTGAATTAATGGAACTGAAGAATACAATACAGGAACTCCGAGAAGTATGCACAGGTTTAAACACTCGAATTGTTCAAGCAGAAGAAGGGATATCAGAGGTCAAAGTCCAACTTAATGAAATAAAACGTGAAGAAAAGATTAGAGAAAAAAGGATAAAAAGGAATGAGCAAAGTCTCCAAGAAATGTGGGACTATGTGAAAAGACCAAATTTACGTTTGATAGGTGTACCTGAATGCAACGGAGAGAATGAATCCAAGCTGGAAAATACCCTTCAGGATATTATTCAGGAAAATTTTCCTAAACTAGCAAAGCAGGTCAACATTCAACCCCAGGTAATACAGAGAACACCACAAAGATATTCCTCAAGAAGAGCAACCCCAAGGCACATAATCGTTAGATTCACCAGGGTTGAAACGAAGGAGAGGATACTAAGGGCAGCCAGAGAGAAAGGTCAGATTACCCACAAAGGCAAGCCTATCAGACTTACAGCAGATCTCTCAGCAGAAACTCTACAAGTCAGAAGAGAGTGGGGGCCAATATTCAACATCCTCAAAGAACAGAACCTTCAGCCCAGAATTTCATATCCAGCCAAACTAAGCTTCACAACTGAAGGAAAAATAAAATCTTTTATGAACAAGCAAGAACTCAGAGATTTTATTACCACCAGGCCTGCTTTACAAGAGCTTCTGAAAGAAGCATTACACACAGAAAGAAACAACCAGTATTAGCCTTTCTAAAAATACACCAAAAAGTAAAGAGCACCAACATAAAGAAGAATTTACACCAACAAATGGATAAAACAGCCAGTCAACATCAAATGGCAGTAACCCTAAATTTAAATTGACTGAATTCCCAATCAAAAGACACAGCCAAAACCCAACGGCATGTTATATCCAGACCTGTTTCACATGCAAGGATACACAAAGACTCAAAACAAAGGGATGGAGAAAGATTTACCAACCAAATGGAGAGCAAAAATAAATAATAAATAAATAAAAAGCAGGAGTTGCAATTCTTGTATCGGACAAAATAGATTTTAAAGCAACAAAGATATAGTGGTAAAAGGATCAATGCAACAACAAGAGCTAACGATCCTAACACCCAGATGGGAGACTTAGATTCAATGAGACAGAAAATTAATAAGGATATCAAGGACTCGAACTCAGATCCGGAACAAGTAAACTTAATAAATATTTATAGAGCTCTCCACTTCAAATACACAAAATATACATTCTTGTCAATACCACATCATACCTACCCATTCGTTTGAATGAAACATTGGCCATTATTAATACCCAATTTTTTTCAAAATAAAGCAATATTTCCATTTACTCTCCCTCTTTCTCTTCCTCTTTCTTCCTCTCCTTTACTTATTTTTTTCTTTCTTTCTCTCAAAAAAAAAAAAAAAAAAGAAGTAAACCAGTAAAATGGTAAGATATACCTTCCTAAGGTACCTATCTGACCCATATAGACTTGACCAAAATATTAATGACACCTATGACTTGATTTGCAAAATGTGTTCCTCTGAATAGATTCTATTTTAGGTTTTGTCTGACTAGAGGAGGTTTTCGGTGGCAAAGGGGTTAAGTGACAAATTAATGGCTGAGTCTGCAGTCCAGAAGCTGGCTCTGGGCTTCTACACTGAGGCACGTGGTCTCACACCTGTCAAGCCACTCTGGGGTGAGGGCACCTGTGCCAGAGGGCTTCTCTTTAGCCTTAGCCTGTCCGTTCCACAATAGCTGCCTGACTGACCCAACAGCCCTGTTTCTGTTGGTTCGAGGGGCTTTGCTACGTACCAGAAAGGTTGGAGCTGGGGTCCTAGGGGAATGAGATAGAGGGAAGGTGATGCAGACCCACCAGAATGAGGGAATTGTCCAAGAGAACAGCCAGAGCCAACTCTTCACCTTAGGAAAAATGTGTAGAGGTTGTACCCCACTCTTCAGGACACGGTAGCTTGATGTGGCAGATTTTGGAGACAAATTGGGCTCAAAATAATTTTGGCAAAAACCAGCTACCACTGTTTGCTTAAGTCCGTTTTAGAAGGGCAATGTTGTATGCATGAAGTGGATTTGTTACCCTTTTATTAGCAATGAAACGTGTTTAGAAAGGTTGCCCCTTATTTGATAGACACAGTGCCCCTGTACATTTTTTGAAAAGAAGGCTATATGACCAAGGGTTCAGAAAAACTCAGACCATAGCACGAGGGATGGCAAAGTAAAAATGTGCACAAATTTCCAAACAGAACAGGGCATTAAAGGTCAAGGTATTAATGGGAAGGACTTAAGATGCTCAAACAGAAAGAGTGATCTGTATCCTGACTCCAGCTGAACATACAATCAAAGGGATAAGTTAGCCATCGATACTGTTGGGCCATCATTGTTCTATTCCATCTATTAACAGCCTTGTTTATTCAGTCATGAGAGTTGCAAGCTCGAAGCCACATTATTTGCCTTGCTTTTTGGCCTAGAATACCACCTGTGAGATGTGCACTTCCCAGTTCTCTACACTCCCCTCCGTTCATTCTACATAATTCATTGGGGCCCTATGATATGCTAGCGCTGTTCCATGTGCTGGCATAAAGCAGAGAACAAGAGGAATGTAGTTCCTGCCATCACACATGCCTTGGGCCCCACCCCATCCACTTGTCATGCTGACTTCCTGTCCGGGCCCCTGAGGCATTTGCATTTTCCCTTAAGTCAGAGTGAGGAGTCCCAGGCAGGTGGTCTGAGGAGAACACCACAGCTTCACCTGGAATGCCTGTGGTCTGGTTAAAGACCTAGACCACTTCATAAGGGAACCAGCTTCCAGCTGGCAGAAGTGACTGAAAGGGCCTGGTGCAGTGGCTCACACCTGTAACCCCAGCACTTTGGGAGGCTGAGGTCAGGAGTTTGAGACTAGCCTGGTCAACATGGTGAAACCCCGTCTCTACTAAAAATACAAAAATTAGTTGGGCATGGTGGCACATGCCTGTAATCCCAGCTGCCCCGGAGGCTGAGGCAGGAGAATCACTTGAACCTGGGAGGTGGAGGTTGCAGTGAGCCAAGATCGTGCCATTGCACTCCAGCCTGGGAAACAAGAGCAAAATTCTCTCTAAAAGAAAAAAAAAAGAGTGACTGAACAAAAATTATAAGAAAACTGGACAAGATCTCTTCACTGGTTTGGTTGGTGTTTCCATTTTGCTCTCCACTGGGAAATGCAAACTGGAATCCACAGCAATTCCCACCTGCAGGGAATCAAGTGTTTCTTGTCTGTTCTCTTGGAATGG